GCGTCCGGGCCGAGCCGGGGCGGGGGAACCTTCTGGTTTAGAATAAAGTAAACTCCTCACTTGGAAACAAACTTTCATTTAAAATAAACTCCTTTAAAATAAACCCCTCGCGCGCTTCTAAATTTTGCCCCGGTGCTCCTCTCCACAGGCACTTTGGGGCATTACAAAAAGCTCCTCTTGAGGCTTTTCAGTGAGCTCGGCAGGCAGCTTTGGAACAATTTACCTGAGTGCGCTGACAGAACCTCCCCTCCTTTAACTCTCTTCTAGGTAACTCACCTCCTTCCCCTTCACGTTTCTGCTTCCAACAACACTCTCATCAAACACAACTCGGGGTCAATGAAAACGTCATGGCTCCTGGAGGGGCTTTGCGCTACATGTAGGAACATTCTGCCGGGGCTCGCGTGCGGGTGACGAGTTCACAGCTTATTCTCTACATAAGCGCATAGGAGTCCCCCTCAGTAACGCTGACCCACCTATGGCTTGAAACAAGCTGCATTTGTGTGCTGTGACACCCGAAGCAGTGTGACAACTGCGCAGACAGCCCTCTCCGAGGAAGCTGCTGTTTTCCACCATAAACATCTTTCACACCAGCCCCAGCTCTGCTGAAAATGCAGCAGCAGCGACAGAGGAAAAACAAAACACAAAGTGAAGTTAGATGCAACAGGTTTGAAGCCTACAACAGCTTTTTATCTGTATGTATTAAACTGAGCTACTTTCATTATCTTAAGCTGGATATTATCTCAAAGCTGCTAGGCAGAATGCTTCTTTTAACTACACAGGCTTTAGAAATTTCAAGGTTTTGTTTCTGTTTTTTTTTTTTCCTCCCCTATAGAATAGCAAATACTTGCAGTATTTGAATTCATTAAAGTATTTGAATTCATTAATTTAGGCCACTTTTGCAGCCTTTTAAAAGATAACGCAAGCATGACCTACCCCTACCCTTGATTCTCCATCAGCCTCTTTTTCCCCTTAGCCTTCCTTCTCACACATTACACATGTACAGCTTTTCCTTAATTTGCCTTTGTTTCAGCACAGCTTGCAGTAACTTTGGCTGCCACTTGCCTGTATTTTTTTCATTACTTCGGAAATTCGGTTTCACTGTAGAATTCTATATAAAACAGCTGTCCTTTGTGCTATGGACACCTACCCCCCCAAAAAAATACCAGGTTATTTTCCTTGTTTACTATACCTTGGCATTTATTCCCATTTTAGCACTTTCTCTATGCATGTTGAGAACGTTACATCACAGGGAAGCCTGCAGACAAGCACATGTATGATACTGCTGCAGCTGCATCAGATCTTTGCACTGTCAGGTCATGCCAGGAGCACAAATCACCTCCTCCTCCTATTCCTGAAGCTCTTTCAGCTTTTCTACGGCTGAAATTATAGCCTGATTGGCTTTGTTTCAATCATTTGTTCTTCTCATTTGTGTATGACATTAAAACTTGTATGCAAGTCCTACACCAGTCTCTCTAACAAACCTATATAATTTTCTACTATGAACCTTTTATAATTTACTATTTTGTCACATTAATAACACGTTATAATTGTCAAATTAAATTTGAATTTCAAATAAATTTTTATTTAAGAGTCTGGGTAAGTTCTAAAACATATGAAATGCTCAAGAAAAAGGAAAATTATTTTTATAACTATTATTTTTTCCTCAAAAAAATCCCATATTCTTGAATTACATTGTTCACATTTCAGAGAGCAACAGTTGTCTTACATTGCCCATTTCTTGTATACCTAATAACATTTTAGCTTTGACTTAAAATTGAACAAGAAGGTTCAAACACCAGTGGTCTCAGGACAGAAGGAAACAAAATCAAGGCCTGTTTCATGACAAGTAGTTGTATTTATGATAAAATACAAATACATTATCCACTCAGATGTTTGTAAACACTAAATGCATAAAAATGCTAGCCCCTATTCATTAGTTTTTCTCCTGAAGTTTGTAAAAGTAGTAGTTTCTTTTTCTGATAGTCTTCATTCTCCTTCTCTGCTACTTCATCTAGTGATTTTCTTATACATGTTTTCAGTTCCTCAATTCCTTCGCCAGTATATGTTGATACAGGAATTATATCTTTGAACTTCATTGTACTCTCAGGAATCACTTCTTCCGATAGTAAATGTAAGAAGTCTGAAACAGCACACTGAGAGTTAGTAAAAAACCCACACAGTGTATCACAATAAAATCCATAAAATCCCATTGCACTTGGAAAATAAAATTTAATAAATAAATGACAATAATAAACATTGCTAGAATTAATATATAATAAAAATACTATTTTGTCTTAAAAATAGCTAAATAAAAAAAAATCCCTTAAGACAGTTACTAACATAGCAGTTGCATCATAATGTTCTTACACCCTTCCTTCAGGCAGTAGTATATGGGGGACACAGTGTTTTAGGCACTGCTCCAAGAAGTAGGAGGAACTTCATCTCAGTATAAATAACAAAGTTGAAACACAGTAAACCTACATGGGGTTGCCTCAAATTTTTATGTGCTTGGATCAGTCGTTACATGACAGATTTTTATATACTGCAGTGCCT